GCGCTTACCGTTTAAAATATTACTTGGTGCACATAAAATGGCGCAAAAGCTTGCATAAAACTCGCAAAAGCTATCGCAGTTCGGTAAAAAGGAGAACGAAAGAAATTGCGGAAGAAAGCAAGTCGAATATGAAATTGAAGTAGAAAAAGCAAACGAGTTTACACAAATAAATCAATTTTGCATGCAATTTCGAAAGCCAGCCCCAAAAGCCAGATAATGGTGAGTCAATACTCAGTACACCGAAAGCATACGCAGAGTATGGAAATACTTATGTGTAAAGCATATTTCACAACCACAACAAAGGCAGTAGGTTGCAGAAATTGTATACATGAACACACAGCGATATATTTTGCTAGAATTGCGTTCAGAAGTCATACCGAAGCTGCATCGTGGCATACGATTTTTCTCAGAAAATTGTGTTTTTGAAAGAGAAACTCATGGGGACATATTATATTTATAAAGGGTGTTTATAAAAACATTTTTGATAAATTTTCGTTTAATGTAATGTTAAGTATTTTCAAGATATAATTTTGCTATATCATATATTTCTTGGAAAATATTCAGCTAAAAAATGGAAGTATTGAGCCTAAGCCTGATTTTACTTTTCCAAGCGTTCACTCTTGACAAAAATTAGCTTACAGATTCAAATTTATTGTGAGTGAATTATATTTCAGTTGAAGGCAAAATTTAGCGGAATTTCTTACTGTATATCCTGAGCGTTTTTTTTTTTTTTTTTTTTTTTTTTTTTTTTTTTTTTTTTTTTTTTTTTTTTTTTTTTTTTTTTTTTTTTTTTTTTTTTTTTTTTTTTGTTGATGCATATTTATGCTCCTTCTGCTTCAACATTTGCAGTGTTGTAAGTTCTTTAATGTGTTTCCATAACAAAGTTGTGTGGTTAATTTCAGATAGTAAATATAAAGTTGCTAGTGATCTTTATTGTAGTCACTTGCGGTGTGCAGCTGCTATGTATGTAACTTTAATTAATCAAATTTGAAGACTTCGTTCTTATCTGAGGCATTTTTTAGGTGAAAACTTGTGCGAAAGCCGTTAGTTCCGGCAATTTTTACTTTATAGCTTATAACATAAGTATAAAATGAGGTTATGAGTACAAAAAATTGATTCTCAATTATTTTTATTTAAAACGTAAACGGTTTTTCGTTTGAAAACCATGCCGAAAATCACATTCCTGCAAATTTAAGCAAACCTTGCTGGTTTCATAAACAATTTAATTAGCAATAAATATGAATTTTAATAGCATTAATTACAAAAGAAGGAAGCACAATTTATGTGATCTAACTGCTTCAATAAACTTCACCTCTGGCTTAGGCCGAAAACACCGCCAAAGGCACAGCGCTTTAATAAAATGAAATATTGGCCCAACGGGGCGTATGAGTGACTTTTAAATGAATGTGAAAAGTAAAACTGACTTCTAATATAGCGTTCACAGCGTCACAACTGTCGCCTTAGCAAGAACATGCATAAAATTTTTATGTCACATTCAGTTTTTCGCCACCCCCCCCCCCCTACCACTTACGCTCCACTCGCTCAATTCACGTTTGCGACACTTCACAGCCCATAAAACAGTTTCAACAGAAAGCGCTATGTATTGTGAAAAACGTTGGCATGCCAAAGGTTATGTGCGCACAGCATTTTCCGGTCTTTGTTGTTGACGCTAGCAGCACTTGCATGCACCGCACTGGGTACGCGCCTGCCGTCCGCTTAGCTCAGCTCGGCTTTCGCTTGTCCGGCGCAATAAATCTCGACAATGTGCACAATTTAGCATTTCACAATGCGTCACTTGTTGTAAAACAAGCATTTTGGCATTACACTTTGGTTGCTTGCATGCATTTGTATGTGAGTGTGTGCAAACGTTTAGGCCATCGAAGCAACGCAATTAGTGCCACACTGTCCATTACCGTGCGCTATTAGGTGTTTTTTGTTCCAGCGCCTAGCAGAGACAGCAATAATTTCTGCATATGTGTGTGCATACGTCTATTTGAGTCTACATTCATGGCGAAATGTAACAGTATTGTTGCACATGTGTACACACTTCGGCGACGGTATGCATAAATTGGAGTCAATTGAACTGTAGCCATTGTTTCCCACACATACCAGCACACACTCACAGGCAGCTGAAGTGACTTTCATTGCGCTGAAAGCGGTGTTCGCTGCTATTTGCGGCAATTATCATAAATAGACATTTGGGTGCATATTTGATATTTGCCCAATTTGTAGCTACAAATGCGCGCCTGGCTTACGCTGCCCTAATTTATGCACTTTAATATGCTTTGCTGCGTTAATAAAATAAATTTTACTTCAGACATCCCTTCATTTTCCTACGCATTAAATCAATATTTATAGCAGTTATAAATAGTCGTTTAAAGTTTATATTAGTCAGCGAAAATTTATTTTATTGCTACAAGTGGCTTAAATTGCCATAAAGGGCATACAAACTGCAGTCATTTTTCTTAACAATGAAATATTTTTGTTTTTCTTTCAAACCGGCAAGCGATGACCGCATAATAAATTCAATAAGAAATTCCTCAAAAATTTTGGTTTCTTTTATTTATTTGTTTTAAGCGCAGGCATTTTAAACTTGACGAAAAGTAAAGGAAATATTTAATGAATAATTTTTCAAATAGAAAATAGTTCTCTTCTTCTTCTATCTATATCTATTCAGCAAATTCACTGTTTAGACTCAATTGAGGATATAAAAGCGGAATCGAAGAAGGCTCTGATGGTCGTCACGGCGGCGGATTTTTCCAAGTGTTATGATGACTGCTAAACTTGTTGGCATCAGTATAAGTTTCTTTAAAGAAGTCGAAATGGACAAAATTCGCCTTTCAATTTAGTTAAGTAGTATATATGTTAAATATAGCGAGGGCTAATTTAAGGTCGTTTCTTAGCGACAGAAAGTTTGTCTGACCGAAATATTTTAGCTGTGAGTACTTTGTTTAATCAAGATCGGGAAAAGAGTTATACAAAAAAACAAAAAAAAAAAAAAAAAAAAAAACAAAAAAAAAAAAGACGGTAGTTCCAGTTTCCAGTTTGCATATTTTAAGGTGCATACTTAATCTAAAATTGCCAATAAAATTTATGTTTTCCACATTTCGACAGGATATACTATTAATAATAACATACAAAAATTTCAAATCGGCATTTCAAATAGTTTTTGATATACAGCCTACTAAATGTTACACACTCAGTTCTATCAGTTCTACGAAAAACAGATTTTGACATGCAAAAAATTGCGAAAATTTGTCTAAAATTTCAGGCTTTTTTTAAATGCCGTCAATTTGTCCATTCTTAATTTTTTCTTTGGCTGTATGTAATTCTATAATCAATCTCTTTTACTGTTTCATTTGCAGAGAAGGCCAGAATCAATCAGCAGTGCAAAACCTCTTTACCAATTAACAAGTATAATTTAAAAAAAAAATTAACTTTTTTCTTCAAATGTGCTGCGTATAAATATAGCCTAAAAATTAAAAAAAAATTATTTTATAATTTAAAAATAAATAATATAATTTAATAATTATAAAATATTTTTTTTGTTTTCAAAAATTGTCTGTTTAGACACCAAGTAGGTCAGTGCCGCTTCATTTGTCCAATTCATTCAACTACCCAAATACTAGAAGTTCCTGAGTTGCCTTTAGCGAAAATGTGTTAGAAAACTATCAGTGTTAGCTTTCAGATTTCAACAGAAAACTTATAGATTAGGGTGGGTGAAAAAACATGTATACTTTTTGTTCGTCTGGTACTCGCAAAAATACAATAGGTTGTTCGAGACCTCTGAGAAAGTTTCTTTAAGTATCAGCTCATCTTATCTTATAACGCAAAGGTCCACCACCTTAAAGTCTTCTATTTTTGCATGATGAAACAATTCAATTTTCGCTGCTTGAAAAAATATTTCGTTTCAGAAGTTTTGTAGGAAATTCTATGTTCTAAAGATAAAGTTTATTACGTTAATGATTAGTAGCAAATAATTTGATATTGTCAGTTCAGAATAGTACTTAATTCTAAGTTTGGTGTGTTTAGGCATACTTGAGCATTCACTTCACCTTTTACTCTTTTTCAAATGTTTTTGCGGACCAGCTGTATGGCCACCGATGGCGACGAACTCAGTGTACGTTTAAAGGAAGCTATTACTGGCAAAAGCAGAAAAAAATTCAACAATGGTTTTTGATCACTGCAGAATGTGGTTGAAAGATAAGGCTAATATTTTAAGGATATCAAAAGAATTCACTAATATTTGTGACTTCTAAAGCTCTTCGCAAAGTTAGTTAATGATTAGTAATTAGATCCCTTTAATTGTATTTTGAAATTTCTCGTCTATACCTCTAAGTGACTATTGATGAAATGTGACTGCATCATTTTACTCTGGAGCACATTCGATAGTCATCCAAACGACCGCTTGCGGTGAATTACGCTTCGGATCTCGTGCTCAATATCAAAAGTAATTTCTAAAACCTTTCAAATATATATGTGGCTAATTTGACCTGAAGGTTTTGTTCACCCATATTATAGAAACATTTTTCAGAGAGCTTTTTAGATATCTTTTGCAGTCACATTTTAATTAATTCTCCAGCCAATGACAGGCGTTGCGCATAATTCACAATGCAATGTGAACATAGCGTGAGTTTGTTGCAATAACAAGAGCAGTTGTCTTAAAAATCAGGTGCTCTTTCAGCTAGCTAAACTGACAGCTTCATTGCACACACATATAAATATATATGAGCGCTTCGAAAGTATGCGCTAATTTATGGACTTTTTTCACTTCTACAACAGAAGATAAATAGCACGCGCAGTTCGCCGTCGTCATTTCAGCAACAACGGTGGCAAATTGCCACACTTGTGTGTGTGTGTGAGGGTGTGGTTGGATGTTTGAGGCTGTAAGCAATTTAAATGTCATTCAAGTTGCGCTGGCGCTAAAAGTTTATTTCTTTGCGCCTTAGTTCTGCAAATTATGTATTTATTAATGTATTCAACATGCACTTTTCACTTACCTATGCTAAGCAGCGAGAAAATGACAGCTGGTAGCAGCTGTTGCCACATTGGCGCGCGCACGTCTGGCTGGCGTGAATGCATGCTGGCTGTCGGGCTGGCTCTGCCGGTCTATGTGTGTGTGTGCGTTAGTAAATGCGGTGGTTGCTGCCGCTGCTCAATAGCACGCTGCTGGGGCGCCTAAGGATACACGCGATTCACGGGATGCACAACTTCGAAATTTTTTTTTTGTTTTTATAATGGACGCTGTCGCGCAGCTAACGCTCTGCTATAACGTTGCTGGGCACCTTTGAATTACTTGTAAATATGTATTGGTATTTGTATGTGTCTTTTTCGGCTTACTTCGTCTTTCTACTTTACGCCGCTGTTGCACTCACTCACTTGTGTTTGTGTAATGCACATAGTTGTCGTTGTTGTTGTTGTTGGTGGTGAGACTGGCTGTATTCGCATTGCGGATTTATGCACTAAACTCTTGTCTATTCACACGAAAACGGCGTCAACTCCCCGCACCTTAGTTCATTGCACTGCGTTGCTGCTCACCAACTGTGTGCCACCAACTGCCAGACCAGGCTGCTGTTGCAACAATAGCTGCCACAAATTCCAAGCACTGACGGCAGTGAGGTTAGCAGCGCTTTGTTGTTGTGATTCTTATTAAAATTACAGTTTTTGTTGTTAGTTTTGCTACTACCACCACTATTTTTGTTGCTGTTATTATTGTTATTATTACTTTTGTTTTTGTTGCTAGTGTGAAAGTAATTATTATGATGGCTGTCAGCCTTTCTTATGACTAGCATGCCGCCACTGTCAGTTTCAATAGTTTTCACGTCGGCACAATGCCGTTTTGTTACATTTTACTTATTTGTGTGCATGTGTGTGCATATATTTTATTTAAGTACATTTTATTTCTGCACAGTCTATTTATGTCACTTCCTCTTCGAAAATGCCGAATCTACAGAACATAAATAATATGCCATAAAAACTGAAACAATAACAAGATATTTGTATAAAATTATATTGCACAGTTTTATTGAACCGACGAATGAATGGGTCGTAAGACCTGCGCGCCGCTTGTAGACGGCCTGCTTTACGACTGTTTTATGTTTTATGAATTTTCAGTGGCACTTCAGTGCGCTTGACTCACTTTGCTTTTGAGCAATGTTCGCGTGTGTGTGTGTGTGTGTGTACGACAGTTCGCAAGCGTCAGTTTAGCTTCCACACGCACCGCTGCTTTTTTGTCGATTGCGCCAATAGGCGCACAAATAAACTGACTTCAAGTTTTATTGCGCGCTGCTCATAGCTTGACTGCCACTTTGCCACTTCGGCACTTTTATGGCCTACGTGTTCGTTGGTGCGTTCAAGTGTTGTTGCTATGTATTTATATACTTTGCTGCTTGCTGTTTTGCACTACTTTTGTTCGATGGTCCGCTTTACTTTTGTTTTAGTGTGTGTTAGTTCAAATTTTGTTTTCTTTATTGTTGTTGTAGTTGTTACTTATTGTTTTTTGGTATTTCATTGCACACTTTGGACTTTTCCGTTCATTTGCGTAGCTAATGTAGGAGTTCTTGCCGCGATTATCGATAAATTTCTCTTGGTCCTGGCGGATTAGCCTGTCGTTGCATGCTTACACATGCATATATAGTTGTGTATATGCTTGTGTCTCCGTCTGCACTCACTTCACAATTTATTTATATTTTTGTGCACTTCACACGGCCACACCACTTTTCTACTTTTGAATTGTTCGGTCATCCAGCATTGCTTGCGCCTTTTTTGCCGCTTGGCTGCGTTACCGTTACGTTTGCGTCTCTTATTTGTATTTGCTCAGCTGTCTAAGCTGTCCACTCTCCCCGTTCACTTTCGCACCACTACAATGGCACTATGCCTGCCGTTTTATCGTGTTAGCATTCTCTCAAAGGACTTGCGATTTATTGTTATGGTTCATTTGCTTATTTGTTCGCCGAATTTATCTGCAAAGAAAGTGTGTGAGTGAAGAGAAAGGAAAAAACAAAATGTTAGCTTCAGTTCAACGGTGAGGTAAGAATAAACAATAAGTGTTTGTTTAATAATAAATGGTTGTGCTTTTGTTGAGCTAAGCAAACAGGATTTCCTTGCCTATTTACTTGGCTGTCCTTAAGGATTCCTATGATTGATTAAGCCCTGGCCTTGACTATCTATGTAAATCATGAATATTGTTTGTTTATGCTTTTTTGTCTCTATATTTTGTGATTTATTGTTAGAGCTAGTCAGGTGGTAAGTACTTGGATCATATTAAACGTAAAAAATGCAGCTGGTTGAGAGATTTTTCGTTGTGTATATATTATATTTGCTCTATTGGGACATATTTAAAAATAAAAAAAAGTGCTTGGCAATAAATCTGCATGAATTATTTACTCTTCGCATTCACTCGCTAAGGGTATCATTAAAATGTTAGATGGTTTCTGAGCGGAGATTCTTATTTCAATAATGTCAAATGCAAAGTGAAGAAAAATAAGAAATGCAAGGCAGGAGGACACTTGCAATAAACGTGTGAGATGCTTTTCGCAAAAATTCGGTTCTTCCTTTGATTGAAAACAAATACGTATTTTATTTGGCGATGATGTAGATTTTTGAAACTTTGAACATTTCTAATAACAACATAAATATAATATTGCTAATAATTAAATTAATATAATTTTGGTAATAATTAAATTTTGATAAGATATAATGACTTTTCACACTGTGCACCAAAGGCTAAAGTAGCACCTGTCCAACATGGACATAGCCTCCTATGTAAACTATCAATAGTGCGACGTGGTATCGAGAATCATAGAGCATCTGATGCAATCCAGCATCACTGGTATAAGGCCCTTGAATCCATATAAATATATAAGTATACCAAAATCTTCCCTGAACTGGCGCCACATTTCGACTGAACTTTCGACTATAGTGCGCTGAATGCTGTTTTCGAGATCCTCCAGCACTGCTGGTCTATTAGAGAAAATAACCTATACTTTTCGGTATCTTGTTGCATTTAAAAATCCTCTCAAATAGCCACAATTGTTGAAGAAATCATTATGCCAGAAATGGACTTATTTGAGGAGATGCTTTTTCGGTGAACTTAAATTGAAAATTTTTCAGTGAACGTGAATTTACGTAATAATTTTTTACAATCTCCAAAGGTTTTATCAAACTAGAACGTGAGTTGTTAAAATGGCAATCCTACTTGAACACACTGACAAAACCGTAAACCAACATAGTCAAGTCCTAGTCAAAATCCCGTCATTTGTATTCGTAGACGCTGCATCTGAACAGCGACCACATCACCTCAATAGCGTTAACTAAATTTATGGAATTTAAGAGGGAATGCATATGATTGAGGGCTGAACGCCTTTAGGTCGCGAGGCAAACCTTAACGAACGTCTATCTTTTCATTCTAAGCAAAAAGGCTAAATAACTTCAGCCGAAACTTTTGCTTTCAAAGAGAACAACTAGAGAGAAATTTAAGAACAACTTTTTTTGTGATACGGTAGGTTATATATTGAAAAATAGCATAATATAATTTTAAATTGATATCTGAAATATCGCCTAAAACTAATCGAGCTAGATATAGGGTTATAAAATGATCAGAATGTTGAAATCTGGGTGGCTGTCGGATGCGTGAGTAATATAGAGATAACTTGATGAAACTTAGTACCCGCCCTCTAACAAGTTTAATATACATATCTTCCAAACCACTAAAGCTACAAAAACCAAATTAGCGCAGCGAACATAAAGCATATAGCTGCCAATATATGACTTATCTTAATAAATTTGCGAGAGCCAGTTTTTTCTTATAACGGCGCATATTTGCGCTTAGAATGTAGAAAAGCGAGTGAGAACTCGTCCTAAACCCAATTAGCTAACAGTTCTTATGTGCCTGCTGGTACTTTCCTGGCTTTAATTCCTGCAATTTGCATCAGTATGAAATGCTCAATTATACACGAACTTAGCACTTCCCCACTTATTTTAATTTGCACATGATATACCCTCCTAACCAATTTTTTAGTCCATTTTTCCACCAAAAAAAAAAATAATAAAAATAATAAATAAAAAAAATATTACAAAAACAACAAGAATGCAAACAAACATGAACAACGTAATAACAATTGGCTTTACCTTGTACTAAAACAAATTTTCGCAACCGGAAGCCACGTTAGCCGACAGACGATGCACGCGGCACACACGCAAACAAAGCAACTCAGCACACACAGATATGTCAGTTGGAAATTGCGCTTATTCATACGGACACGTAATCTGTTGTGTAATGTCTTTAGTTGTGTCAACTTTCGTTTAAGTAAAGACGAAATAATTCTACAAGTGAAAGTTTTGAAATAACATTAAGATAAATTTCCCCGGGGAAGTCGACGAACAAAGCAAGCCTGCGGTGCGAGCGGCTGAATATATGTATATAAGTACACACAAACACATATAAACGCGTACACGTATTGCTCTGGGGAAAATGTGGAATTTCAAAAGCGTTCGCCTCTAACTCCATAGGCTGCAATGTGTATATTTACCGAGCGTAGGCTTCGCAAACATAAACTACAGCAACAACAGTAGCAGTGTAAGACGACAAAAGGATGTCAACAGTTTACGCTCTGGGTATACGCAGCAATGTGCCACTGGCGGGTATCAGGGAGCAGCGTGCGTGTAAGTAAGTAACACTCAGACCGAAAGCAAGTGATAATCGAAAACAAGCACAGGCAATTTTATCGCCTTTAAGCTCATACATTCACACACTCGTACAACATGAAAATATTTATATTTTATGCATAGTGAAGTGTGTAGTGAAATGACAGTTTTCGCCGTATGTGCGTGTGTGTGTGTGTGACGGCAGTTCATATTTAGAATTGCTGTGCAGATACTTTGCCAAAAGTCTCGCATAAACGCTTGCACACGTGCGGATCTCACTTGAATTTATGTGTGTTTCCGAATGTTTTAATTAAATACTGTAAAAATTTAAATTCCTTGGAAGAGTGACGCGGGCATGTAGAGAAAATTGATGGTTAGAATTTTGAAGGTTGAGTTCTAAGCGCATTTTTGAGGTAAACTAGTAAATTTATACACACCCAGTGAAAAAATAACGCGATTCAGACAAGCTAAACTACTTCAGAGAAATGCGATTTTGTCAAAAAACATTATAATATTTCCAAGACAAACCTACATATGATAAACTTGGACTTGGGCTCTTGGCCTAGAGTAGAACGTAGGAGGTCTTCTGAACTGCTTGCTTTTAAAAAAGTTAATCTTGGCGCAATTGCAGTGGTTCTGGTCCAATTGACAGCATCAATATTTATCAGTTCAAGGCAAAAACTCTTGTCGGAACTTTCTTGAGACATCTCCGGTCTTTAGCCATCTCAACTATTATATAATAGCTTGAGCGCTTTGTCGCTTTGTAAAGATCTTATGATACATTATATAAGTGTTTTAGGTAACATACCCGGCTGGCACAGCGGTTTGCGTGAGATCTCTTTAAGGATTCACCACATTAGTTACCCTTAATCGGCTAGGGAATCTATCTACCAGTTTTGCTTTCCAAATTGTGTTGTCTAGGTATGCATGCGCTTCGGAAGTGTCAAAAAGTTGAAACTCAAATAGCTGTGTTAAAATTCTTCTTGAACATAACACAACCACAGAAGTTGGCAGTAGAGTAAATGGAAGTTTGACAGCCGAGAAACATTTTCATGGTACAGTTTGCAATGGTCTGCGGTTGTGGGTTCTTGACGCATTTTTATGTACTATTTCACTTTGAGAGTATATATTTCATGTGCATATTAGTTTATTTTTGAATTTGTAAACTGCTTTGTTTGTTCATGCTCTTCGAAGCCTAAAACGGCTTTACAAATAAAAATGAATGGATTTTATTGAAATGTGAAACTTTATTTAATGTACTACTATGACCTGAAAATAGTAAGACTGTGCACGTAATTTTAAAATTTATTTTATTTATTTATTCTTCAAAATCTATGTATATGCAGAAAGCGTTAGCAGCTCATATTGGTGGTAATTTTTTGCTGTACAAATAATAATTCTAGCTGAATTTTTGATTTTTTAGTGAAATGACGTTCCCAAACATAATGCTATAGCCAAGATTTGAAGTTAATATACTCTTTATTATAATTATAACATGTTACTCATACGCATTGTATGACATTTTGACTGAACAAATTTCTGTATATGTTTGTGTTAAATGGAGAGGTTGAAATATACTCTAGTATCATATAAAAAATTATTTTTATGCGTTTTAAAAAGCATTATTTGTTTTGCTAAAACGACAAAAAAATTTCACTTCTCTTTATTTGTGCCCAAATAACACTAACTCATTCAGAATACTGGAAATTATTGTTCACCTTAAAATCTGCATAGATGTAAGCAATAATGTAGCGATATAACATGCCAAATTTATTTTACGTTCACTTTTGTTATACCAGACTGTGTAAGCTACCCTACAGTGTGCCGAGGCGTATGAGTAACATTTGCCTCCAATTAATTACTCATACAAAAAGAAGGGATAATATGAAATCGAAAAGCCTAAAGGCGATTATAATATGCGTGTAAGTAGATTTTATGGATTTGAAGCATATTCTTTTAAAATTACAGCGATAATTGGTATCATTTAGGGAGAAGAACTTTTTATGCTGAATTACTTAAATTAAGAACAATGTGAGAGTATAAGCATTCTCGCACATATAAAGATTTCGGCTGAGGCAACAAAAATTATAACAAATTTTCAATTATTAATAAAAAATTAAGTTAAATTTAACGCTACAGCTAACTGCGATCGTCGGAATGTTTCTTCTTAACCACAAGTTAACAAATATTTTTAAACGTAAAAACAAAGAAGGAACACTGTAGAAACTAGCAGGTGAGTCCATATTTATCTCCTTTTTATGAAAAAAAAAACATTTTTTAAACACCAAATTAGTGCTTAAATT